AAGAAAGGTCCAAGGTACTATTCTGACAAACAGCCTTTAATCAGATGACTTCATAATGGTGGAATCCTAAAGACATAGGCGATGCTTGTAGAAGTTAAGATAGAGCTGGTTTACAGCCCAGGTTTAGTGGCCACACAACCTTGTTTTATCAGCTCGGTCTCCACTAGTCCTGATCTTTGAGCAGTGCACAACCAGGAGCCCTTGTTCCCATGATCTTAGAGGACCTATGGAAGCAGGAACTCACTGATATACGATGGAGCCAAATTGTGTAAATACATTATGACGTAATTAGACAGATTTTAAATTCAATCCTAAAGTTAAAAGAAAGCCAGCGTAACAAAGGCAACATTGTAAAATGTGAAATTCAACAATCTGGTGCATCACAACAGGATGTGTGGAGACAAAATGAATGTTGTGGCAGATTTATTTGATTTGTTGGAAAAATAACAAGGGTTATAGTTTCCTAATGTTTCTTAATAAATAATAATGGCTAAAGGTGTTTCTCAAAATTCAACTGGGAATAAAAAATGACCCCGAGGTTTCTGGAACCCAACTTCGAGGCTTGGGCTGCATGGTTTTGAAAAAAAATATCAAATTGCGATTATTTTGATGATTGCGATATTGTAGGGAAATGATAACTCTTACATCATTGTTCTCATTTCTATTGAAAATCATATTAAAATGCTTATGGTGTGATTTTTGCAGGGATCAGAATATGATGTGTAAGCCAGGACATCTGCAGCGAGACAATATTTAATTTAAAACAGTACTTTGACACATTTTGCCTTTAACAAATATTGCGCCTCATGCGAATTGGAAATTTGTGATTTCGATAACGATTCTGATTAATTGTGCAGCCCTAGATTAAGCAGAAAACATACTTGGTTAAGAGTAGAGAAAGATGGTGCTCATGGCCGCATGAAGGAGACACCATACTCTGTCTCAAAGTCATGTGTCTTTGTTCGCTCAATCTTCTGTTTGTTTCTACTGAGAGATGACTCATAATTCATGAGCACAAGAAGTCCCTCCTCAGCCAGCACAAGTGGTTTTTGGCATTTAGACCAACGAGCATTGCTGTTGTTTTGTGATGAGGACGTTTGCTTGTGTCTGTGTGTCAGTGAGAGGGAACGCTGAGAAGGTGAAATGTAAAAGGCCGGCAGCCTGCACTTCAGAGATGAGTCTGTTCGTCCTCTAGTTTGGTATTCAGAGCGTGTCCTGCCTGGATCAAAGGCCAAAGTCAAGCCGTATAACTCCGGTGTTTTATCTAAATAGGAATATTGTTTTATTGCCCGTGTACTTTCCAGATCTTACACGAGTGGTAAATTGCAGCTCGTCCTCAGACGCTACCATTTTCCTGTAGCGGAGGGATATTAACGAGGTCAAAGGTTTAATCCCCTCTTTGTGAAAGAGCTCTTGGAGTCACATCATGTACCAGCTCTGCCTCTGATCCCTCATGGTGTCTCAAAGCCGGAGGGGAATTTTCAAGGAATCACGAATCAATAAGCAGAAGAAATGCAACATGTGTAATGTACGACATGTACAAGTCATGCTGCATTTAAAAAGACAAAACATTTTGCAGGAGATTTTAGGGATCACTTGCAGCGATAACAAACCCAAGAAAATCTGCTTTACATTTGTTTGATATGAAATTTGAATGTCCCAGCAATATGTTTCAGATATTAGTTCAGGGTTTCCTAATTTGAGAATGATTTGATTATTACTAGCCAATAAAACTTCCTCAGTACCCTAATTATTGATCAACAATCTGATTTGGAGTTCAGTGGAACTCACAGTGAAGTAGTTTGAGGCCGATCGATATGAATCCAAGCTGTTAAAGGATGAACTAAGCTAAATAAAAAGTTGTTTATTTTGCTTTTCTGAGTCTTAAATAATTTGCTTTATGCAACTGCAGGTTTTGGTATCGGCCTGCTGTTTATTGGTTCGCTCATGAAATAAATAGCTTTTCCATCTGTTCCATATATACTTTGACTGTGTTTAGATCTTTCAGATTTCTGCGCGCTGTTTCTTTTTGTCTTCGCGCTGCATTCTCTGCCAGGGTTCCCTCGATAAAGAGCCCCATGAATCCCCACAGACTGTAGATGCTGCAGTTTATATATAACTTGATAAAACGAAATCCTGGTTAGCACTGAGGTGTGTAGTGTAGAGATTGTTCTGCAGTCTCCGGTTCATGGGGTGGATCCTGTTGAAGTGTCCTCCAGCTAGACACCTGTTCATTCACTTCTTTACGGACGTGAGCATCCGCTGAAGGCTGAACATGTAGATGTGTCCTCCCTCTGCTGCAGCCAGCATCCCTTCTTTTCTTTTTTTCCTGGGGACCATTCACTTGCATGGAGACACCAGAGGATTTGTTCCGCTCGAGAGGGATTTAGCTCTGTCCATTGGTATTAAAAATAAATCTCTCCTCACGCCGCTGTTGCATTATTACATTTTCCCTGCGAGGCTCACTATCGCTTTCCCTGATAACACCACGCTAACGAGTACGGGGCGCCCAGAGGAGAACGCTCATTCTTAGCACCATTAAACCTGACCCAGATGATCGTCCGCCATAGGATGAGTAAGCAGGGCGTCATCGTCCCACGGTGACACTGGTGACGCAGTGTTACAGATTGCAAGAAGTCTTGCAGCAGGTCTATCTCGACCTCTTTATCGTCGCCTGGTGATATGCACGGGGGACCTGAGGTGCTTAGATGGCTGAAGATTATCCATGATAACCCTTGTTCTAAAAACCTCGGCTTGACCCCCCCCCTACTTTGTGCCATCAATAGGATTACCACTCACTGATAGCAGAATCCATTTAAAACAAGAGAGTTCCTCTGCTGAGGCTGCTCCTCTAATCTGCTGGGGCTCTGTGCGTTGCAGTTTCCTCAGCGTACAGAAATAAATGTGAATCACCCTCGTGTAGACTTGCTTAACATTTCCCGTGGCGCCCACATTGTTCTGTTGGGGGAGAGGACCACCTCCTCTCTATATCTTTCAAGCAGCGCGAGCCAGATGGCATACATCAGTCGTAAACTGGATGTGATTACGAAGGTTTTCATCAGTTTTTATTGCCCTAGATTGTGCCTAGAATAATTACATTCTGCATTCAAGCAATACCCAGATGGTTGGCGTGCCAAACCTCTACAGTGATATTTATTAAAGCCTTAAAACATGGTTTATATCCCGGGCAGCCACTGTGCTATCGGTACATATATAAGAAAGTCATTGGGGCCTGGGTGATGTCTTAGTTTCAGTGGAGCATCCGTACTTCAGTTAAAGCTGCAGCAGAGCTCCAAAAGTGTTCTCAAAAGTTCAGGAGCCACAAATCGCACAGCGTATTGTAAATATTGATTAAAATGATACTGTATCACACTCCTGTTTACCAACACGCCTGATTATAATGCTGCACCAAAGGTTAACAATGAATTGATTATATGATGAATAAAATCAACAGGGATTTGGACAATTATGATAATTTATTAACCTACAAAACATCCATTAATACGCTCTCCTCAAAGCCACCAGTCTCCAGTCAGACAGTAACTTTAACTCGCTGATCATTGAAACCCACTTCATTTTAAACTCGACAGTCTTTTTAAGTCTTTCCATTGTTTCAACAATCACAGACTCTGGTTTAAGAGTATTAAAGAGACCGATTTTAAGTAAATGATTTTAAAAAAGAAGTAACCACCGTAACTTTTCCACCATTTACTAACCCGGTGTGTTTGCAACGTCGAACGTGAACCTCAGACAGGCATACATGTCTACTGAGTCCTAACACCCAGAAAGGGATCAGCATTTGTGCACCTCAGATCCCCTTGTTTCAAAGTCAAAGGCTTCTTTTAATGTATTTTTGGTTAGATGTCTGAAAACAGGTCCGTGGTTAGAACAATCTTCAGGGGTTTTAACTTCTTGTTCTACAACATAAAATATGTCAGCAGCTGATTTTGGAGGGAAAAGGTTAGTTAGACTTTCTCCAGACAGAATAATCACTAACTTTGGGAACAGTCCAACCTCAGTTGTACCACACACTCAGCACATGTAAATAATGTGCTTTTATAACAAAAAGGTATCAGTGAGAGCTGAAGGAAACGTGTTGCCAGTCAAGTCAATTTTATATCTACAGCCCAATATCACAAAGGACACATGTGCCTGAAGGGGCTTTACATTCTGTTCAACATACAAGCCCCTCTATCTTTAGACCGTCAGTTCTGATAAGAAAAACTCCCCAAAAAGCCCTTTAACAGGGAAGAAGAGGGAAGAAACCTTTAGAAAGAGCAACAGAGAAGTGATCCCTCTCCCAGGACGGACAGTCGTAAAGTAGATGTGTGTACAGACGAGACCAACATAAACTCACAGTGAAAAGTACAGATCCATGAGGGTGTATTTTATGGTCTCAGTGTGCGGTGGCTTACACAAACACTGGTGTTTATTCTCTCTGACTGCATATTGCCAGCACCTCTTGCTCCACAGCACACGCTGCACTTAAAGCGCTGCTTCCTGTAGGTGGTAAAATCTGAGCACACAGAGCAACAGTACAGGACCTCGCTGCTACACTCGCTTGTTTTAGATGGTGAAACCAGAAAATACAAATATAAAATAAGTGCAGCTTTAAAATGAGCAGAAATACAAACCTTGTAGTCAGTTTTTATCTGGTGCTTTGACCGGTTTGAGGCCAAAGGGTCTGGGAGATGTAATCTGTGTTTTTTTGTGATTTAAAAAGATCACCTTTCTTGTAGTCTGATGCTTTTCCTTAACATGCGTTCACCATATATGGCTCATGAGTCATAATAACTGTGTAACAAATGAGCAACACTCTGCTGCTGTATATCAACAGAATTCAGTATTTGTAGCTGTTGTGTTTTGGTGTTTGTGTAAAGAGTTCCCGGCAGTGTTACTTCACAGCCCCGCTGTGTGTGTGTGTGTGTGTGTGTGTGTGTGTGTGTGTGTGTGTGTGTGTGTGTGTGTGTGTGTGTGTGTGTGTGTTCTCCGTTGCCTAGGTGTCCAGACGGCCCTCGCCCCGGCACTGTGCGACCATGTCAGCTGCCCTGCAAGAAAGACTGTATCATGACCCCTTTCAGCGACTGGACACCGTGTCCTGTGACTTGTGACGCAGGTAAAGTGAAAGAAAGGGAGTGGTGTGAAATAATACTGCCTCATACAGATCACTGAGGAGGAAGCATATTTGTTCCCTATAAAAACAATTTAAAACCAGCTAATTGTATTTCAATTTTGTTTCATTTCATGTAGTTTTCCGCCTGACTTCGTTTATAGCACGGATTTCTAACACACTATTTGGCATCGTAGTTTCAGGCTATTGTGATAATAAACAATAATCAATTAAACATATTGTTCTGACTCTGCCCCAGCCTCAAAAACATAGACACACAGAAGCAGGTTTAAATTGACAGTGTGTAAAAAATACAGCGGTGGGACACATTACCAACCACACAAACACTCGTCCTCACGTCTTGTTACACATAATTAATTTGACACCTCGGCATATAAGACAACCTTTGGGTCGACCTCTTTTGCAAGCCGACTCGCCCGGTGGCTACAAGTGTCAGCGAGCCGCGTTGTTGTTGTTTTCATCCTGCGACCGGAAAAAACACACATTGTTCGGATGAGGTCACCTTTGTCGTGCAGCCACCGGCCGAGCTGGTGAGCGGACGCAAATACATTAAAATGATTTACATCTGAACATCATTACCGTCCATATTTTGGTGACCTCTTCGTGTGACACGGTGGCATAAATCTCTTTACCTGAGCGTGCTGTTCCGTCGGCTGTGCATTTTAATTCGATGCTATTGATATCTTCACCTTGCACCACCCACACACACAAAGGGTGTAAAGCAGGCAGGGTTCAGGGCTATCCAGAGGCTCGTTCCATCTTAATTAACTACTTGAGGTCAAATCCACACGTGTAAACACCGTAAATTTAATCTGAGTCAATTCCAAGGTCTAATGGGATTTTCCTACATCATCGTTGTTGGCTTGATATCCCGAGTAATCAGACGTGCGTGTTGTCTACGATAGCTATCCAATTAGATTTGGCAACAGTAGTCTCTAAGTCTTCAAGGGGTATTAACACAGCAGCCTACACGTAGCTTATCATTTTGACATGTTTCTCATCACTTTCCCATGCAGACATTTCTTATTTTATTCAATAAATGTGTGTGTTTGTGTGTGTGTGTGTGTGTGTGTGTGTGTGTGTGTGTGTGTGTGTGT